CACACACACACACACACACACACACACACACACACACACACACACACACACACAAAGTCAGATTATATACATATACATGTATATAACACACACAGCATGCATCAGTGATATATTACATCTATGAAAAAAAACTTACTGTGGATCAATATAATTTGTTATATAGAGCGCTCTTTATTTTTAAGAAGATGAATTTTATTGTGTGTATACGTTGCATTTCATTACCTAATGCCCCTGTTGATCGTATTTATTCTATTAACAGTTTGAAACAGACATGTTTTTGAAATAGTGCCATAAGCAGGTATGCTCGATTCGCAAGATTGTTATAACAGATGTATTTTTTTCTTATTCTCTATTATTTACATATAATTATTGAAATTTTATTTTCAATATTCATCTTGCTTAACATTTATATATGCCGTTAATAGTACTATAATATAACTAATCGCCTGATTTGTTAATTGCAAAATTCAAAATAGATAATTTCGTACAAGTGGTTTACAAAATAAAAAATTTAGCAAAATAAGTATTAATTTATCGTTATTTCTAAAATTAATTAATATTTTTACTCACGAATTAAAAAGACACAATTAAATCGGCACTGCCTTGCTATTCTTTCGTCCAAAAAATACAATACTTACACATTGATAAAATGAAGCATTGAATACGAAGTAGCGTTATTTTTTCGTGAAATAGATATAGATTGTCACGTTGAGTACTTATAAGATATCAAATAATGCGACCTAATGTTTTACAAGAGAGCTCAGCAGCAAAACTCCATTTATTAGAAAAAATATTTTCAGAAAAAAAATTGCATAAATTGAGCGTTTACTATCTTATAGAAAATAATTATTAAAAATGATATACAATAATTATCAAAGATCTGTCACTTACATTGTTATAATTAATAATCTGAATACAAAAATCGATTATATTTATATCGATTATATTATATCATTTGCAAAGTAATCTTAAGAATGTAATCTTTAATAAGATTGTGGAAATTATATTTTGAACATTATTCGATTAGAACGTTAGTTTTGCATATCTATGTATTAATAATCAAGTTTGCATAAGTTATAATGGTAGATTGAACAGATGCTTTCTACATAATTTTAGTTATATACTTTATACATATGAAGCATATGACTTACGTAAATTTACGATAAGATTTTAAAGTATACATGTCGAATTCTGATTATGTATCTTCTATTATTTGAAATAATGTATAAAAATAATGTTAGGAAGAGGGGAACACTTATTAAGAAATTTTATTTTTTAGATATATCTTATTAGATATATTATATCCAATAAGAATAAAATCGTATCTCCAGACATAATAAACGGAGTTCTACCGTGAATTCTGTTGCGTGTGTTATCCTGTCAGATCCATATATAAAATGTTTGCAATAAATATGTACAAAAATATACGCTCGCGAGTAATAATTACAACTTTCTCAGCATTAATTAATAAGGTACAAAGTATTGCATCACCCATTGTATATGCGATGCAATCCGGATGGCTCTCGCGATAGAGACGACAGAATCTGTCATCTACAACGCACGTCTACAACAATCATTTGTACACTATATATAGCGTGAACTTAAAATCTAGAAATATTGCACGTGAAACCAAATAGAATATCGCACTCTTAGAGATAATTCATTGTAAAAGAGCGTCTTACTTCAGATATAAAAAATTAGTAAGTAAACTTCTCTCATCTCAGATCTCATTGTTGAAATGGTAAGTACAATTTCGCATGAGTCCAGATTTCTTATGTAGTAAAATATTTCACATTTTTTTTATTATAAAAATCTCGTAATCATGCAAACATAATTGACATATTAATATATCGAATTTACATTGGGTAAGTTACATGCTTGGAAATTCGATTTTTAAAAAAATTTATGATAAGGATCATTATATATATCGTACTATAGAATCAATTTTTTTACTTTGAATTTAGAATTTTTTCTTTATCAAAGAAAACTTTATATATAAGAATATGTATACATGATCATAAATTTGACATTAATATTGCTCCGTACATTTGTATTTCTTTAAATCTAAAACAATTCAGCCTCCGATAGTTCAAAATTCTGAAAGATTATTTCTGAGATATTAAATTCTCTTCAATCTTTTTGGTTTCTTATAAAGTTTTAAAAAGCGTTTGCTTCTTTCTCGCAATTATACAGTTGCGTTACGTTCTCCTAATTTTGAGCATATGCAAATTAGGGTGCCATGGCACTTTTCTGAAGGTCGACGCTCTTGTCTCTTCTTCGGGCGATAGGTCATCTTCATTGGCCTCGTCTATCGACGCTCGCATAAGATCGGCGCCAGCGCTGCTAAGTACTCGTCGGTGTCGCGTCGCATCCATACGAATACCAGCGTCCCACCCCCCGGGATCGCTTAATACTCGACGATGTTTCCTCTGCCGACTGTGGTGGCGGTGATAATGATGATAGTGATGATGGTGATGGTGGTGACGGTGCTGCTCGGATATTAACGACGCGTCGCATTCCAGACTCGGTAGGCGTAGGGGATAAATGGGATTCGGGTCCAAGTACAGCCAGCTCGCGCTATCCACATAGGGGAGAAGATGCATCGCGTCTAACGACAGCGAATGCGGATGCAATAGCCGCTTGTAAGCGTATCCGTTGTCAATCGGTCTCAATCTCCCGGGACGATGAGGTTCTTGCGAGCCAGAATGCAGTCTGTTGACATTGTGTGTTTCATAAGAGTGAAAGAATATATTAAAAGATGTTAGGTTCATCAAGGAATGTCAAAAGACTCCTGACTCCTCGCCATGGCCATATTGGACTCGTGACGTCATAAATGAGAGATGACACAGGCTGCGTTCCGATATTCACTGCCAGTACTGAAAATCTATAATATATGTGATCTGAACTATACATTTTTAGTACTGGCAGTAAATATCGGAACGCAGTCACAGTAAAATTTTTGCACGTAATTTGCAAATAAAGAAATATTTGACTAAAACGACATTTAAGATGGCTTTAAGACACTTGTGAAGATGGACGGTTACTAAGTTTACTATGCTTTTCCCTCCTGATAATAAATGACTGTAAAAGGCGCATGAAATGAAGCCTATTCAAATAGAAAAACAGACGGTTTGAAAGAAGAGAAAAATATGTTTTTATATATAACATTCAAAGGTAACTTTAGTTGCTGTTCATTTTTATGAATTTGATAAGTACAAGACGAATCACATCTGTATTAAGCATAATAATATAATAACGTGCAATAAAAAATTTCGTTGTCGGCACGTCGCTTAATATAAAGAATAAACAAAAATAAGAATGGACAAGGGGAACAAGGATGAACCAATGGAACTGTATCGTCACCGTCAACGCAAAATTCTTAGCTGAGTAGTCAGAAGCCTTAACTTTTATCCAAAAATTACACAAATTTTTGAAGATATGTATTAACTTTATGTTTCAATTTTAAAAAGTGTAAGATTTTTTTATGTAAAGAAACACTATAACAAAGCACACAAATTGAAGAAAATTATAAACAATTAAAATTGAAGAAGAAACATCAAGGATCAATTCTCAGGGTGTTAATCGATTTTCGAAGATACCGATATTATTCTCACGAACCTGCACGAGAGTCGGCGTGAGGGTCCGCGTTGTCAGTTGAGAGGATGTTCCCCTCGCGGTGTTCTGTAGCACTTGTTCCACGCTTCCAGCAGTAGCACGCAACTGTGAAACCTGTAGAAAATCAGGAGGGGCAGCCCGATTCGAGACAGCACGCCCCAAGCGAGCACGCCGAAGAACCGAAGCTGCAACTCCTGCGACAGCCAGTTCTGTGTGATTACGGTATCGAAGGCCCAAAGCACGGCGTTACTGAAGAGCAGAAAAGTGATCACTTGGCGGCCGGGCTTTGTCAGCATTTGGAAACGCGTTATGCACGAACGTCGCGAGGTTTCGGCGATCAGCGTGCTCTGCGCGAAGCATTGTATCAGCTGCAGGATTGATGTTGACAAAAGCATAATGTGTCTGGCCTGAGTGTCCTCGGTCTCGCCGTGATCCGACATAGCCAGTGAACAAGCGCAGACCACGATGGTGAAGACGGAGTAGAGTTGCACCCCGAAGAGCGACACGTTCGACAGTAGACTGTCCAGGGCGGCTGGCGCTCGCGTGACTACCGAAATCTGACGTACCTGCACGAGACCACTGGCTGTCATTAAACTGCTCAGCGTCAGTATACCAATTAGAGTACCACACGTGAGCCACGACAAAGTGGCAGAGGGAAAGTTTTCGTCCTCTCGTACGACGAGAAAGATGAGAATCACCACGATGCCGGCAACCATACAGAGAATACCCAGGAAGAGACCTTTGCTGGAACCATCGCAGCCTACCCGAGTATGGCTACTCAAATCCTTGCTGCCATGAAATTTTTGTTTAATCAAACGACTCCGGCCGACGTTTTGACCCATCACGAAAGTCACTGCTGCGGCGATCAGACTGAAAGATATCCGGAGAAATTTATAAAAGTTCGCTAAGAAAATAAAACTTCCATAAAAAAACTAAAAACAATTTAGTATTAATGTTTAATTAATACAAAATTTTTATTCTAGTTTAATTTTAATTTCATTTAATTAAAATTAAACTAGGATGAATATGAAATTAAAATTTATTTAATATATAATACATACCTAAATTGCACAATAAAGGGATACAAAAAAGGCATGCTCGAGGTCCATAATTGTCCTAAGGTATTAGTGTTTAAGCATTCTTGTAACGCGATTACTTGTGAGATTTGCTCGTTCGAGACTGGTTGATAGGGCTTGAAAGTGCTTCCTTTTGTCGTTGAATCGTCTGAAATAAACAATTCGTATAATTAATTTTGGAAAACTTATTAATATAAAATATTTTTTTTTCGTACACACATACACACACACGCACGCACACAAATCCTTCAAAAATATGGAAACGGTCAAATAACTCGTCAGGGATGCATTTTAGAAACAAATATTACAGGATAAGTTGTAGAGTTTCGAAAGGTCTATTTACTGATTTTATCAGTTTGATTTTGAGTGGAATTGCCAAGGTTATAGAAATGAACTTTGTTTTTTTAAGCGGGAACCCCCATTTTTTATTACATATTCTTGTAGCTTATCTTGAGAGTTTTTCAAAACAGTATAATAAAGTATTTTTCAGCAAGTACTTATAAGGCTTGAATTTGATATGTAATTAGATATAAAATATAAAATTTCGTAAACAATTCATTTTTTGGCAACTATACCTTAATACTTTACACACTTTTGCACAGAATAATGAGATGAATCAATAGGTATAGAGAAAATACATAGTTGTTTTTCAAAAAGATACGTCATTATATATTGCAAATCTCAATTTTGTTAAAATATATATATATATATATATATATATATATATATATATACTATAATAAGTATTCCTCCGGACGTAGTTCGTCTCGTAACAAGACGTCCGGGAAATCCTCGAAGACTCAAAGGAGATACGGATGTTTGCTGTTCGTGTTGCGCCAAGTGTACAAAATAAGTCCATTCCTGTGCGGTATCCCAAATTACCAGACGAGCCCAGACTGCAACATTAGTAGCTGCGAGATGTGTGAAGCCGAATCTGGCTGCAAGGCCAAAACGCTCGACAAGCACCTACGACAATGAAGACAACAATGAAATAAAGATAAGTAAAGTCAAGTTCATTCTCTTTTGGATGCTGGGGATTTAATCGATTTGGGGCTTCAAATTAGTTTCGAAAATTTCGTTTCAATTTTGTATAATATTTATGTAAGTTTGAATTCTCTATTCTAACACAGACCTGCGGTATATGAACACGTTAGCGATACGTAAGCCATCGACGCATCAGAGCGCGACGAAGAAACACGTTCACGCATTGTCCAACCACGTACAATGCTCGGCGTTCAGTATAATGTAATTAACGTAAGACTGACGCTTGCCTGCGAGTTTACGAAGAGAAAGTGCATCTGCAAGAAGGTGAATAAGCCGTGCAGCACCGGATGCACAAAGACGACGTCGGTCAAGCACTCAGCACCCTGCATCATCGAATGCATCGCCATCTCCAGACCGTTGAAGACCAACGTCGCAAGGCCGAATACTGAAAACGATTAATCAAGTCTATTTCTAAACAGGATTCTCTAAACGAGCAAAATTCAGCTCGAAATTCATAAGGATTCCAAATAAATTTACATTTTTAAGAAATACCGAATTTTCATCAAACGAAATTAAGTGCCAAATAATTTTTAAATAAAACATCAATATAAACGGATTAACGCTATCTCTTACAAAGCGCGCCGACTCGTATGTAAAAACTGGTTGGCGCGGTTCTAGCCCTGGAGATGTGCGCCCGTTTTAATGATCCGAATCTGGTAAGCGACGCACCACCGAGTTCCGCGTCTCCGAGTCCGTTTCCACCTCGGCTTAAGCTGCCGCAGCTATCAACCAGCACCCATATGTAAATGCCGATAATGACGGCAATGCTGCCCACGTAAAGGTACATGAGGAATATGCCCTGAAAGGTGCGATTATGTAACTCTGTGATGGTACATGCTTGCTAAAAAAGCCAAGATACAAGAAATAGGATTTAAAGCGTCTCTGAACGGAGACCACACGCGCAGGAAAGGTCATTGCACTGATAAGCGCAGCAAACCGGTTATCTTCAAGCTTGTCGACGACGTACCGTTTCATCTACGTGGCTTCCTAATCTGTAATTCTGTGAATAGAAGCTTCTAATCATAAAACGCGTACAAAGTCGTTTACCGCGCTTATGGATGACCGTTACAAATTACTGACATATAGTTCCGATTATAATATCGGATCGCTATGCAGTTTTAATCCTGATGATCTCTCGTCTAATTCTGGTACCGGTGATATTCTTAACGCATAATTGCTCCTACTTTTTTCCATTAAAAATGTCTTTCAAAATTAAAGCAAGAATATGATTTAAGATTGTTCTCCAAAATTATGCAAATAGAAGTTTATTTTTATTTTTTAATCTTTTACGGTTTAAAATATTTCTCGCAAATGAATGAGAATCGAGTCTTCAATTTTATCAGATCGAGTCCGATGTGAAAGAATTTTTATTATCTACAGAAATTTATGAAAATTCCAAAAGTACAATTTGTTCTAATTACATTCGCGCATTGATTCAAATATGTACACAACTGTATGATAAAATATCATAAATCAAATTTATTATCGAGCTGCAGAAAAGAGAAGATTATTAGAAGAATCTTCATTCATAAAAGTAAATAAATTACAAATTAAGTATAAGTTAGCAAGTTTATAGCAAGTTACCAATTTTATTGAATTAGTTGCAGATTATATCAGTTGGTTTAAACGATATCACAAATTAATCAAATAATTGCATCGTGATTTTTACGATAACTGAAAAGTTCTATTCAACGTAATGCTATTCAAAATCATTGCGAATATTATGATGTTCTAAAATAAAAATTAATAATTAACTTTTCATCGCAATAGAATAAGATTCCCACATTTTCAGAGGATATTCCGTAATCATCCGAGTTTCAAATTTGTGATCGATACTCGCACTTTCCCTAGATTGTGTAAAGTAACGGTACGATAATTTTAAGTCCGATCTAGAACATTACTTTCGAGACTTTGACGCGTTGCATGTTATCCAAGAATGAATTCACTTTCCTGGCAAATGCGATATTTGCGATAAGGCCATTTATTTATGGATTCCGGTCGAACGAGTTCGATTACTCACCTGCAAACTGAGCAGAGGCACAGGCGTGTCCATGACCTCGGCCAAACATACTGCCAACGTTAGCACGACGATCAGCTCGCCGTACACGTTTGAGAGAACCACCCATAATTGCGAGCTGCATACGCAAAATAAAAAAAGGAGATTAAATTTGATAATTAATTTTTAAGATTTAAGAGAGTGAATGTACGTGCTAAAACAAGCATGTATAAAGTTAATATTTTATCTATTAGTTTTATTATCTATTAATTTAGTTTTTATCACATTCTGCTTAAGAGATGTATCACACTATTATTATATTTATAATAAAAAAATTATAAAAATCTTACAGACTATTTTAAATCACATTATTTAAAAATGATATGAAAAGATTTAGCGGCGGTTTAGAAATTAAGAAAATTATTTAAATAAATAAGTAAAAGTGTGCTCTAATGAGAATATAATTTACTTTAATTTACGATACAAAAATTATCTTAAACACTTAAAGTAATTATATGTATAAAAGATTTAAGATTTTTATTGGCTCCTGAATACTCAGCTAAAAACTCCGCATTGACAATAGCGACGTACCGTCGCGATGGAAAATAGAAGCTCGTTCATCTTTATTCATCATTCTCATCCTTGTCCTTGTTCATCTTTATATAAGTGACGTACGTGCCACGAAATTTTACGCTACGCTTTATTACATTATTTTGTGCTTAATCGTGAAAACGTATTTCGTGTTTATCAAAGTCATAAAAATGGAACACTACAAAAGTTATCTTTCGGTTTTATATGTGAAAGCATACTTTTCACCTCTTTCAACAGCTGTCAAATCGTGCGTTTTCTGCCGGAATGGGCTTCATTTCATGTGCCTTTTATGACTATTTATTCATTATCGGGAAGGAAAAAGGTTGTAGCGTTCCGTTTTTACAAGTGTCTTAAAGCCATCTCAAGTGTTATTTTATTGCAACATCTCTTTATTTGCAAGAAAAGTAGCAAACTTTTATGTGTCATTTCTCGCTTGACGTCACGATTTCAATATGGCCGCGGCGACTATTCAGGAGCCTTAATTATATTTCTAAAGCATATTTCAATTTTTTTTAAAATAAATTTTGGTCCAAATTCTAAACAACCGCAAAATTTTTGTATTACTTTTAAATGCGATTTAGAATAATCTATAATATTTTTCTACAATTTTATTATATATATAATATATCCTGAAATAAAATTTCGAATTTTTTAAAATTAAAATAAGAGTAAAAAAGAAATAAAATTATATTTTCCAATATAAAATATACACTTTATGAGTGATATAGCAGTTGAAAGTGATAGCTCGAAATCTTACTAAGGTTCTGAATGATCTAGTAGATCCTCAGGCGACCGTGTCCTCGCCAGAATCCTGGAGACCAAGGATCTCGCCGGTGGCGCAGAGGTGGATGCCTGCGCGGACGCTTGGTCCTCTTTGTCCTTAGTCCTGTCACCCCTACTGGGGCCACCACCCGGCGCGCCTTCCACGGTGCCACCTGTTGTACTTCCGGTCTCGTTCAGGCTGTCCTTATCATGCTGTTCATTGCTCGCTACGAAAGAAAGATGAGAAAAGCATGAGAAACGCGCATTCGTACAACATTCGGCTCGTCATACGCAGCAGCCGGAAAAGTGGAACCTCGCTTCTTCTTGCTACTTTCTTTCTTTGGCCTGCCGGGTCGCTGAGAGAAATGTATGTAACTTTCGCTGAAAGAATTTATACATCTATTTCTGCGGCGATAGCGCCCGCGGCGCTAAATAGTCACGGATTTGCGTAGATCTCCCTTGCTGACGGTCATAAATGAACTAGCATCGTCACGTTCGGCATCTGTCCGATTATCCCAATTTATATCTTGGTCTCGAACATAGAACGAGAGAGTTGCATTTTATGTAGAGACTTAACATCTACATAATGATATATTAAAATATTTATTAATCTGTTATTAATGTTACTATACAGTGCCGAAAATCCAAAATATATTCTTTTTTTGTTTATTGCACATTATGAGCTTATTGAATGGAAAATGTTTATTAATTTTTCACGACAGTTTTCATTATATTTTATTTTTTTATTCTGTTTTCTGTTGTATCGTATAAATACATATAAGCCATAAAGATAAGATCTTCTAATTTTTAAATTTGAATTTGTTAGTCATCGTGAACAGAATAACAGATCATCGTATAACAAAAAGACGTATATTTAATTGCCATATGATTGATTTATGGAAAATGCGAGGAGATTGACTTGTCAAACGGATAATTATCCGTATTACTTTTATTTTCACGCGGGACGTGATTTTTTTTGTAACGATACCACTGTTCGTTGCAATGGATAAGGTGTGACACGCGTGCAGAGGGAAACGCTTGGAAATAATTAAGAGGCTGGCGCGTGAGTTTGCTTAATTGCACTGCTGATGCTGCAGCTTTAATAACTCTTTGTGCATTCACGAACGTGACGTTGCGTAGCTGCGGTGCTACACAATGATAGTTGTTCCCGTCAGAACGTATGAGGTATCTCCTAGTAAAAGTTCGGCTCTCTGGCGCGTTAAATAGCTGGCAATTACTGCGAGTGTAATGCCGTGTAATTAATGACGGCGAAATCAGTAAATTCTCTATCGCGCGCGGTTTCGTCCAACTATCTCGCTCGCGCGGCGCTAACGCAATTGCGAAACACGAAATCGATCGCGACGCAATTTATTTAATGGTCGGACAGTTGCTTTGTTCTTGGAAAGACAAAATGATTATCATGCCGCTATTATTTTTTTATCTAATTTTGTAGTGACTTGTTTGTTGAGACTTTTGTTTATATTAGAATTTATGCTTTCATCAAACGAGACACTTAAATTTTCAAATAAATCAAAAAGTAGCTTTTAATAAAATAAACATTATTTAATAATAATTTTATTTTATTATTATAACATTATTTATTTGTTTTACTTGTTAATAATTTTAATAATATTCTGCAATTGAAACAATATTTGAACTACAATTCCAGATTTTTACATAATTTTTATAATTTTTTTTAATATTCGTTTAACGCTATTGATGAACAATAATTATATTTATTGCTCATCATTATAAACAGCAAAATAGTTGCAGCTGCTTATTAATATTTCAGATGCATAATAAAAAAAATAATATTTCGAAATAGCCATAAATTGAGCTCTCTCGATTAACCATTAGCCTCTTTTTCTGCTATCTCCCATCATTTCGAAGATATTTAATGAAGCTCAGAGAATTATGACATTTTCTCTACAATCTAAAAGAGCTCCGCTTCCATATGAGATATAATGAATCGTTTAAGAAGGCAATCGAGTATCGAGGCTAAGTCCTTTTGACGGCCTATTTGCACGGCGATCGACATCGGCATAGTGATCCGTAACGAACAGGACATAACAATTATGGAGCGCATAAGTGGCGGTTGTACTCGAGATCGAGCTAATAAGCCTCTCGTTCCGTTATTTCAGCGAACGCAAGCCCGATGGAGCGCGCATACTCCTGCAACGCACTACAATCGCATGTTGAAAAAAATATCAACTCTTCCTCCCTTCCTCCCCCCTTCTGTTCTCCTCTCAAGCGTTGCACCTCTTCTGCAGGCAGAATTTCTCCGATGGTGCGTAATACAAATTGCGCGCGGTACCGAAAGTCACGAGTCAAGAGTCAACACGCACGACAGGTGGTAAAACGTCGTCTCTCGTCGTCGCGATTAACGAGCTTCAAGATCATCGTGCATCCGGGCACGGAGACATGTGCTTGATTCAAGAATGACGCGACGATGATGATGCATCGTCGCGGACCACTACAAAGGACGCCTAAAGAGATTGAAGAGGTGAAAGTTCTCCGGACAGGAGGCATCTTGGGCTTGAGTATTGTATAAAGTCTCACGACAGGTTCCTTATAAAAGTTCTGTCCGATTAACGATGATGATGCTTGTAAAAGAGTATTTTGCAATATTTTATGCATTATAGAGGATATTTATGAATTATTAAATCTATTTTGAATAACTAAAAATCTTTAATCTTTATTGAAGAGGCGAGAGGTCTCCGAACAGAAAGCACCATAAGTACTTTGGGCTTGAGTATTGTATAAAGTCACGACGGATTCCTTATAAAAGTTCTATTTGGTTGATGATGCTTGTAAAAGAGTATTTTTCAATATTTTATGCATTATATCAAATGTATTAATAAATTATTAAATCTATATTGAATAAAATCTATTTTTATTATTTTATTATTATACATATATATGTACCACATAAAGGTACAATCACTTAGAATACCCTTAGCGAAGATCAGAACTTCATAATTGTGCATTCTGAGTAGTGCCAAAGCAGCCGCCATTCTTATTTGACTTTAATTATATTATAAAACTTATAAAGATTCTTATTTCATTTTGATAAAAAAATTCTAAAATAAAGCAATTTTAAATTTCAACATAAAAATGGCGATAACTAGAAAATAACGCATTTTCTCTATCTATGTTTATCAACTTTTTTCTTGTTTTTAGTTCCCAAATCCCATTTTCCGAGCGATTAAGTTTCACTTTAGTTTCCCAATCCCATCTTCCGAGCGATTAAGTTTCACTTTTGAACTTTTTGAAAGCTTTGTATATAGAACGCATTTGGAACAGAGACAGAGAAATTTGAAGAAATCAACATACGAATATATAAAAATCATCTACAATTGGCGTATCAAATCGATTCGTTGTGAATTACAATGTTAAACTGCGTAAATCTGTACGTATAAACTCGAATAAAAGAAAAAATCCACGCAATCAGTCCAGCAGAAAGGATATATGTGTTAATGTAGCGCAAGTCTAATTTTATAGAATCGGTGAAATTAGTATCATTACGTAGCGCAAACTACTATTTGCCATGTGCCTGCGGCACTGTTCGCACCTGCAGCAGATTACGAGTCTATTGCAGAAACATTTTCTTTCTTATCGATTCATCAATAACAACGGTCATCGTCAATCGAATCCCGTAAAGTTCACGATTTTTCCAACTTCCTTGAGATTTGCCAAATCGCTAAGGTCATATGGCGTTCGAGAAAGGATCATTTATCCATTCTAACAATGTTAGTGAAGCTAACAAATCGCATCTTAAATACAAATTTAGAATTTGCGTCTACAGTTTAAGTGATCCAAAAAAAAGATTCAAATATTATTCGTGCATGTTACAAAATTATAAAGTCAGTTACAGCAATGTTATAAGTGCATTGTTTTTGTAAACAGATTTAAAGTTAATCGCAGTTTAAACTTGAATGATCAAGAAGAACAGTTAGTCGCGCTTTCTGCAGTGTTACGGTACATTCACGGCATTCTATCATTCGAAATACGAATAGAAAAGTAGTATTTATAATAATTCTGAAAGAATTCTGATTTATCATAAAAAATATTTCTAAATTAGTTACTTAGGAAAACATAATTGTTCTATATCTATATCGCAAATCATAAATGCAATCTCGTTTTAAACTTGTACAGTTTGAAATTTAGGAATCGGAGAACAAGGAGAAAATAAGGAAGCGAATCACCGCTTTGGACAAAGTGTATCAGCTATCTAATTAAAATAATCGCTAGTAAAAGAAAATATTAAATTTTATAATTTAATCCTTGTAAAAGAAATAAATAAAGATCTTCAATTATTGGAGAAACAATTTTATTCTGATAACGAATTAATCTTAGGCGGTGCCGATCCGAAGGCGCCACTCGGCGCCACGGAGATTTACCTGTACGTTCGTTATCAGGAAGCTATCGTCGTGACGGGTCGTCAGCGGCGTCGCTGTCCATCACTTAACTCTCGCGAGGACGTTGCAGGACCGAATGACGAATGGCGAGAAGTGCACGTAGCGATAACGCGGCACCAAGTGGCGCGGATAACTCGGCTGCGCTCTCGAAGGAGCATCGACTCCTTCGGGGATATCGAACGATGGCGACGGCAGGTGGTGGTGGCCGGCGATGATGACGGTGATGATGCGATTTTCTCGTAGCCTCATTTCCCAGCATCCGTCAATATGCACTATAGCCGATAGCACGTAAGCCTTGCTTTCGAGCGCGTTGCTCGTATCTTGCCGTCTAGCGAGGAGGCCGAGACCGAGCGAGCGCCTTGGGAGGCCATCGCTACGTGTCGCCTTCCAAATCGAACAAGAAGAATTCCGCTATTCTATGACTCACTTATGACCCTCGCGCTTCGATGCGTTCGACGAAGGCGATTTGACGCGGATATTTTAGACGAGGCGTTGCGACGAGACGAAGACCGACGAGAGAGCAAGAACCTGGCGGAAGCCATTGTGTTTGTACTAGTTTCATGTCGAATATATTAGAATATATTAGCAACTCTCTGGGAAGTTGCACGTGTATGTATGTGGTTGAAACTTGTTTGTGACCATTATATTTTCTTGACCCACGTTTCTTCTAATAAGATTTACATTTAGATGGATAGAGCTAAAAGATAATATTTTCAAAAAAATGTCGGTAAATAATAATTTGTTAAGAAAATTTCTTAAAAAATAAAAATGGATTATTATTGTATGTTTTACAATTTTTTTAAATTAAA